ACGGAGGTGGGACGAAGTCTTTGACCTCAAGTCCGAGTCAAGTCCCAAGTAAAATATAGGCAAGTGCAAGTCGAGTCTTGAGTCATTGACCCATAAGTCCAAGTCAAGTCCAAGTTGTCTGCTTTGAGCTTCAAGTCATTTCAAGGCTTTAAACCGAAGTACCAAATATACCTTAGATTTTTGCAGTTTATATGAATTTTAAGATAAACTATATTCATAAAGTCATATGAGTATTTATAGCAGGGGTCCCCAACCTGTAGCTCTTCACCTCCTTCCAAGTAGCTCGCCAAGGGATTTTTAAATTAGACATATTGTGCTGAATAAGCAAAATGTAATTATTTAAATGCCTATTACCATTAAGCATATTTTGATGCCTAACTTTGTACACAATCATTTATAATGATTTATGTTTTATAGGCATCTAACTGACATCTAACTCTTATATTTACTCAATTTCTTGTGAGTAGTAGCTCTCTGGCATTTTTGTTCAGAAGAAAAAGGTTGGAGATCACCGATTTATAGAGTATATAAGAGTTGTCGAAATGTAAATTTTTCCTCTGATTCACTCTAAGATCTTGACAAGATCTTAGAGTGAATCATTACAGTCAGAATAGAAAGAATTCAGATTTAAAAGTGCTTCTCAAGTCTTCTCAAGTCACAGGCCTCAAGTCACAGTCCTCCAGTCCAAGTCGAGTCCCAAGTCTTAGTCCATTTTATCAAGTCAAGTCTCAAGTCCTAAAAATAGTGACTCAAGTCTGATTCGAAATGTATTGTATAAATAAAATTAACAAAATACAAAACATTTTAAGAATTTTCTCTATTACATACATTGAATTACATAATGTGTCTTTGTTTATCTCTTCATAAAACTGAAATTCAAATTTAAAATGCGTGTAGCTATAGGAGAATTCACCCTTTTATAAAATCTTATTGTGGTACTTGAATGTAGCACATATACCCCGCCCTGGAGACCTTATTCTGAGCAGCCAGCCTTACGGACATCCACACACCCCACGTCGGTCCTCGGGGTCCCTCGGGTGCTCGTGCGGTGCTCCGGCCCGTGCGTTGGGAGCTGTAAGGGGCTAGCAGTGGCATGTTGAGATGACAGCCAGGCCCCGCTGTCACTCTCCACTGATCACAGCATTCCTAATCACAGATAAGCTGCAGGTCCACGCTCGCAGACCAAACTTCACGGATCACAGCGCACATCGCCGCAATAGGCCAGGGTCACTGTGCTCCGCCATGCACGATTCCCATGTTTCTCTCCGCCTTTGTGCTGGGCTTATAGGGGCTGTACCTCATTTTGATTTCCTCCGGTTCAAGAATACAAATTTGAGTCCATATAGTGTATCGGGAAAGCAAAAAAGCTGGAATCTGGAAAATCTTAACCTGTGGGCGTGTTTGTGGAGAACCATTTGGAAACTATCTCTGTTTCTCTGTCATGGTTCAACGTCAGTGAGAGGAACTGTACCTGATTTTGATTTCTTCTGGTTCAAGAATAAAAATTTTGATCCATATTGTTAAAGCAAAAAAGACAGGACCTGACAATCAACCAATCAGTGATTTTGTGGACGAGAACCATATGAAAACTATCTCTGTTTCTCTGTTATGGTTCAACGTCAGTGAGAGGAGCTGTACCTGATTTGGATTTCTTCTGGTTCAAGAATGAAAATTTTGATCCTTATTGTTGAAGCAAAAAAGACAGGACCTGACAATCAACCAATCAGTGATTTTGTGGACGAGAACCATACAGAAACGGGCTCATGTAACAAGTTGTATCTCTGTCATGTTGAGTGGCATTGTGCTCGTTTTTTATTTCTTCTGGTAAAAACAGATTTTACTACAGTACAGGAAAAAAAAGAGAGATTTTTCTTATACATTTCAAAAGGCAGGCATAAGTAAGCAGCTACCAGGCCAGACATTCTTCAACCAATCAGCAACATGTGTGGATGAGAACCATATGGAAAACAATCTCCTGTCTCCTGTCACAATCTCTGTCATGGTCATAGACAGTATATATGAGTGGACATAGTTAATGCGCTAGCCGTCGTGTGTCAAATAGGAAGTTCTCCAGGAGGTTCTTCCGGCTCCTTCTGACCATAACTCCAATTGACTTACATTAAGATCTTGTCCCTCTCTTTGTAACTGCTGTTGTGAGTCTTGTCATTTTGGTATTAAAATGGTCGTATTAACCTGCAACATGTGTTACTGAATTTTTTTTTTGCTTTTTTGTCCATAAAAAAAAATCCTATTCATAACATAGAACCTGACTCCAGATTTTCTCCTGTAACGTGAGCATCGGGAGCTTTATTTGATTGATTGATTGATTGGTTGATTGATTGCATTTATATAGCGCCTTTGAAGATACCCAAAGCTCTTTACAGTTCATTATTCAGTCACTCCACACTCAGACTCTCACATTTGAGAGGGGCTGAACACTATGGGTGACGTCACGCTCGTTTAGTCCTCTTCTTTATACAGTCTGTGGTCAGGGTTCAACATTAGTGAGAGAAGTGAACGGTTCTTCAATTGTTCAAAAGTAGGTATAGTATAAACTTTTTAAAACCAGAATACAAAATTGTCTACTATGCTCACAGAAGAAAATTTAAGAAAATTAATTCATTCAATTCATCATAATTCAATGTAATTCAGTCATAATTTCTGTTAATTGGTCACATTATCACTTTAAAAGGATTTGCCCTCTAAAAATAAATAAAAAATAAAATAAAAACTTTCTATGCTAAAAATGTCTATACTAGCTATTAGGGATGTAACAATATCCAAATCTCTCGATCCGATATTATCATGATATGCATCTCACGGTACAATATTTATTGCGATATTTTGAAGAGGCTGATATAATTGTAGACAAGACACTTTTTTGCTTTTAAATACCCTGACAAGATTTTAGTGTCAGTTATTACTGTCAAGAATTCAAGTCCAAATCATATTTCTTCATGTTGTCTGCGCTGAACTGAATCTTGGGATATGTAGTTCCCGATGTTTATAAGCTGTTGCTACTATAAAACCATGCATTTAAGCAAAGAAACTTGTAATCCGATATATTGTGACAGCCCACGGTATTATTGTGATACTTTTGATGATATCACGATAATTTGGTTATTGTTACATCCCTAGTAGTTTTATTTAAACACAGGATTATGTTACTCTGTTGTCAGTACTGCTACTACAAAACGATGCATTTTGCCCCTTGAATATGGCCTTGCTTCGAACCTATACTTTTCTTATTAAGTCTATGATAACATTGCAAAACTTTTGACATTTCATACTCCCATATTATATCACATAACACCGCTACATTCTTACTTAACTCACTTCTTACTTCCAGAACGTGTGCCTGACATGATCATTTTACTGCCCTTTGTATTTGACCCTCTTTGAATCCCCACTCAGCTCCACACAAAACCCCCTCATCAAGTCGCTGAAAAGAAAGGAGGTCCGGGGAATTTACAACGGGCAAATAGACTGGGCCGGCGCTCCAGTAGACTTTGGCTGTCGTCCGCAGACTGATAGCCGGGCTTGGAATGCAGCAGCGGGGCTTTCTCACGCTTTACGATGGTCTGCGCTTAATGCCACACTGACTCTCCAGTTTTCACGCCTCCACGGGGGGGAGAGAGGGCAAAGAAGAGAGGGGAGAGAGGGCGGCTCTGGTGGGAGGAGCGGGCGGTAAACAAACAAATATTGAGCTAACCCAACCTTCACCCTCTCCTGTTGTGGGGTCTCTAATGTATGGGCTTAAGTTGATGCCATTTTTTCTGTCCGTATACAAGAAGCAAAACAGACGGGGGAGGTTTTATTTTATTTTTCACAAATACAAGGTTGATTTTTGTCATATCAGAAGTCTACATCTAAAACTTTTCAGCTTCCAGATATAGAGCAACATTTTACAGGCTTTTCATCTTTAAACCCATGCATAGAAATCAGTCATTTGTTTTTCAAAATAAAACCAAAAATAAGGAAATGAAAAAAACAGCTATTTGTCTCCAAAATAATAATGAATAATGGAAAAAAAACAGATAGCCGACTGAACCACGACTAAAACAGAACTAAAACAGGACTAAAGCAGGACTGAACCAGAACAAAACCAGTGTCAGTCCTGGTCTGGTCCCGGTCTCAGTCCTAAACCAGGTCTAACTACGTCTAAACCAGAACTGAATCAGGACTAAACCAGGACTGAACCAGGAGTGTCAGGACGGGATTGGAAGTGCGGCTGCATAGACTGTCGGGTGATCAGGACTGAGACTGGGACCAGACCGGGACTGAGACCAAGTCTGAGACCGCTTTAGTTGTGGTTTAGTCCTGGAAGACCTGGTAGTCCTGGTTCAGTTCTGGTTTAGACGTGGTTAGACCTGGTTTAGACCTGGTTTAATCCTGTTTTAGTCCTAGTTCAGTCCTGGTTCAGTCCGTATGCAGTTCAAAAGTCCCTTAAAAGACCGTTATCCATTTTCATTTAAACACAAAATCGAAAACTGAAAAAAAAAACAACTAATTGTTATCTGTTTTTTCATTTTGGTTTTGGAGACAATTTTAATTATTTTTGGTTTTATTTTGAAAAACGAATGAACAAATGAGACACGGACTGAAATCAATTAGTCATGTATGCATTTCAGAATTAATATCGACTTTATTGCCATTTTAAGTAAACAAACGTGATGATTTGGTACAAACATGAATAAAATAAAAAATATATCAAAAGTAATGCTTACACTACATCTTAAAAACATGAGAAACAGAATTTGTTTTAAACAGTTTTCAGTGGTGTTACTCGTCATTTACCTTAACATTCACCATGATGAGTTTATAAGTGCTTTTGACAAGAACAACAACAACAACTAGCATGTTCCTGTGCACTTCCTGATTACCGGACAATGCGGTGATGTAATATAACTGAATGACTGAATTTTTGAACACTTTTATCACAAACAAAAATGCTTAACAAACATTTCCAACTCATATTTGTTTTCCTTTTTGTTCCGCAGTGGGCCCTTACATCGGGAGGTACTGTGGACATAACACTCCGGGCAGAATCATCTCCTACACGGGCATCCTGGCTCTGACAATCAACACGGACAGCGCCATCGCTAAAGAGGGCTTCTCGGCTAACTTCACTGTCCTGGAACGCACTGTCCCCGAGGGTGAGTCCAGCTCCAGACTCAAGTGACCACAGTCCAGTTAGAAAGAGAACATTAGCTGCTAGATGTAACTTTCACTGGAATATGGTATGATATTATTGGAATAACCTAGGCCAGCTCTACACCGCAAAAGTTAAGAGATTCTGAGTGATTACAACTTATAATTTGTCAGTCAGCTAAGGAAAGTGTCTTATCCCATTGGTAATTTGATTTGAATAAAGAAGAATTTGTAAAAAGTAAAATAAGGCAAGTCCAGTAAGTAAATACAACTTAATAATGTGATTTCAAGTACCGTATTTTTTGGACTACAAGTCACTCCGGAGTGTAAGTCATGCCAGTTAAAAAATGCATAATGAAGAAGAAAAAAACAGATACAAGTCACACTTTTTGGGGGAAATTTATTTTATCAAATCAGAGACCAAGAACCGACACTTCCAGCTTATTTATTTTTATTTTATTTATAATGAGACAGGGAAGCACAATTTTCACATTAAATGACAAAATGCATTGTAATCAGGTTGTAGCATCAGTGCTAATTTCCACCTGTCGTCCCTGGACAGGTTCTTTGATTGATTGTATTTAATTGACCTTTGACTATCAACTGTTCTGGAGACCTTAGCATGTTTTGGGTTGATGGGGGAAACCAGAGCACCCGGAGGAAACCCATCCAGACACGGGGAGAAACATGCAAATCCACACAGAAAGGCCCTGGGCGACCTGGGGATCGAACCCAGAACCTTCTTGCTGTGAGGCATGAGTGCTAGCCACTCAGCCACTTGCCGCCAGCTGAAAGTCAAGTTCTAGTAATAAGAATAGAAGAGAGAACAACAGACTGTTAACATCACATATGAACAGTTCTTCAGATAAACTATAACATAAACAAAAGAACAGAACAAGTTTACCAAACTCTCCATCTCACTCCAAATCTTTAAATCCAGTCAATTCTTCATCCTCGGTGTCACTTCTGAACAACTCCACAACCTCCAGAGGTAAACAGAGCGCCACTTCCTCTTCTGTGTCGCTGTCGTGAGACTCAGCATCAGCTCCAGTTGGAATTATTCTGGCCTTTCTGAATCCCAACAGGATGGTTTTGGTGTCACTGAAGTCCAGGCTTTGTCCATCCATCCAGTGACTTCAGGACAGTTGCATGGTGCATCCTTCCGGTTACCGTGAAGTTGTGTTCTCCATCCCCACTTTCTGCCAGTCCCTCACAAGTATCTTACTGACTCCAAACTTTCTTTCTGCTGCTCAATTACCGTTTTCGACTGAATATTTCACTACTTGCAAAAGGACAGAGGCTCTTTCTGCAGGAGACATGCACAGTAGAGGTGAAGTGACAGTGGTACAGGAAGGAACAGGAGCAGCAGAAATTGGCACACAAGCCTAAAGCCTCTTGCAGCTTCAGTGTGAAAAATGTAATATATATAGTAAGTCGCAGGAAACACCCAAACTATGAAAAAAGTTGGACTTATAGTCTGAAAAATATGGTAATTGGTATTCAGTAGAAATTCCCCGACAAGTCTTATTCACGCAAGACTTTCCTGTTATAGAGAACATTTGGAGAATTTTCCCATTCAAAACAAAGAATATGTTGTTTTGAATTGTTATTTGCATGACAATGATACACATTTTTCATCATTTTGAAACCATGATTTATTAAAACCAGATAATAATTACTATAAATGGAAGGATATTGAATTGAGAAATGCGAGTTGTCATGACAGTACAACAAAACAACGCAGCTCGTCCCCATACGTTTATAATTAAATATTGTAAAATCTGCAAAAACATGCCAAAAATTTACAGTTACACCCCATTTTTCATATGTATGCTTTTCAAAGATGCGTTTACATTTGTATCTTCTTATATCTTAATCTTATCAACATAATCCACCGTCAGTACCAAAACGTTATGGCCCAGGAGGTGGAGGGATTAAGCAGAACCAGAACTCTCAGCGGGGAAGCTTTTGGCAGTCGTGCATGGGGTTCTTCCAGGAGAATAAAAAAGGCCAGAGCGCAGACAGTGAGAAGCAGATGTGCTCCGCGGCCCCGGCCACACTGTTCTGATTATGACAAATTCTCTCTCCTTAAACAAAGAGCAGGACTTATTCAATAAACAACTCCTGCCTTTAGTCCCGAGGGACGAGCCAGAGAATCCACATACTGCAAAAAATGTCTACCGTCGAATGGTTGTTAACTAAAATGTTTCTCTTGATTTGAACGGTTTTGACAGTCTTTTTTACTAGATCTTAAAATTATGATTTGTTTCATGATAAAGTCAAACACAGTAATAAAACACTTTTACAGCTTTTACACCTAATAATCTGAATCTGAAATACAAAATGTAAATACCAGTAAAGTGCACACTGCAAAAATGTCCATGACATAAATTAACACATTTTTCAACTTGATTTTTGATAGTTTTGACAGATTTTTTTTAAAACTAGAACATAAAATGAGCACAGCACAGTACAGTAATAAATAACTTAAACATCTTATACAATAAATACTTTCAACACATTGGCCTGAATCTGAAATTGAAAATATAAGTAGCTTTGACAGTTTTTACTAGACCTTTTTTTTTTTTTTTTTTAATTTGCTTGATTTGTTTCAAGATAAAGTCATTCATAGTAATGAAAAATTTAAACATCTTATACAATAAATTCCTTTAAAACAAGGGTGTCAAACATACGGCTCCGGGGCCGGATTCGGCCCTCCAAGACCTTTAATCTGGCCCTCGGCTGATTTTCTACTAAAATATTTTAATTATATTTTAAAACCTGAGGACAGAATTTGCAATTTTTCGCACACCATTCACAGTCAAAACCTCTGATGTGCCCGCAGACATGCAACTAGAAATAATAGATTTACAGTTACTACCTCTGTGAGCAGGTTTTCTCAGTAATGAACATTAATAAAGCAAAGCTGCGCTCAAAGCTAAAACACACAACACACAAGCACTTGAATGACATTCTGAAGACAGCAGCTACTCAGGACATGGGGCCTGATGTTGATGCACTTGTGCAGGTCAAAAGATGCCAAGTTTCAGGAGCAAAAAGAAAGCAGGAGTAAATTCTATTAAATGCATACAAGTTAATGTTAAAACATTGTGTTGAAATTGCATTTTTCTTAAAGTTTCAGGTTGTTCATAATATTATAATATTTTGTCAAAGAAAGAGTTCATCAATTAAAAAAGATTTCTATAATAGATTTGCGTTTCTATGCACAAATATTTGAATTTATTGCTATTTTTGGGGTACATATGCCATGAGTTTTCTGATCCGGCCCCTTTGGAATCAAAGTAGGTTGGTTATGGCCCCCAGACCAAAATGAGTTTGACACCCATTGCTTTAAAAAATAATATTCTCAATCTGAAACAGACTAAACCTAAAATATTTATGTTGTTGCTTGATTTGTTTCAAGATTTAATAAAAAAAAAAATCATATTCCATTCATTCCAATAATATTTTTTGGTTTACATTTTTATTCTGAAATAGAAATAGAATACAGAAATTAGTTAAAACAACTCACAAGTAAAGTCTTAAGTAAGAAAACTCAAACAATCTAAACTGGTGAAATCAACTCAAATCCATAACGTTCACTCAACCTTTTTAACATATGTATTTGTTAGTTTTTTTCTGGGCCTCCCATAGTTTACGACGACTGTTTTACAAACCCTGGTTCCAGTCAGGCTGCGAAAGGCAACATCCCAGCGTGCCCCCCTCCTCCTCTCCCCGCCGCCCCCTACAGGGTTAACGCTCTGCTACGTCGCCGCGGGCCCTGACCCCCGACCCCATTTTGCAAAAACACCCCAACTAAACATTTCATTACGGAACGCTCACGCTTAGTTGCTGTCATAAATCTGCCCCGATAGATAAGACCACCCCAGATACACATGCACAAAGTCAGGCTTTCTTTGAAAACAAATGAAGACAGATGAAGTTCAGCCAATCTCCTAATCACCTCCCGAAAGGATTAGCCCAAAGGGAAGATCCTAAACGGCCCCACAGTGAGTAATACGCGCTGGTGATGACGGCTGATGTCATATGGGGATAGTTTCCGCAGACTTGCCTTGGGGCTTAAGTCATGTTTCCAGTGACGCTGCAGGCTGCTTTGGCGAACTGTCGAGTGTTTTATAAAGCCACACCAAAGGACAAGTGCTTGACTGATCTTCTGCGTGCAAACTAAAAGAAATAAATATTCAAGCCAAGTCATTAGGACAGTAATTAGAGACGTAACAATAACCAAAATATTGTCAGAAGTCTCAATAATATCGCATACTGTCACAATGTATCAAACTACAAGTGTCTTTATGTAAATTCATTGTTATGGTGCAGCAGTAGCTAAAAAAACAGAGGGAACTACTTAGACCATGATCCTTTGGTGTTGTCAGTGCAGACTTAACATCAATAACACTTTTAAATCTTAATTCTTCATATTACACAGTACTATTATTAACAGTATTAATGTTTTTTAAAGAAGTATAAACAAGCATATTCACAGTTTTGTTTGCCCCCACAAATATCGCAATAAATATCGTACCGTGAGATGCATATCGTGAAAATATTGAATTGCGAGGTTTGTATATACATCCCGAACAGTAATTGTAGTATTTCATTATGTCCATAGACCGGTACTGACTTGAGCTTCTTTCAACGTAAAGATACAGTATGTGACCTTCTGGAGGTGGCAATTCGCCTGCATGATTCCAAAGAAATAGACAGTTAATACTACACTTTGGAATACTCTCCACGGAGATAACTGAATATACTGCAAAAAACTAAATCTAGCCAAGATAAGATGACTTGAAATAAGAAAGTTTTATCATGATTTGAAGAAATTTCACTTTAACTTTCACTTGATCTACCAGTGGAACAAGACTTTTTCTACTTAAAATATGAAAATACATCTTGCTACATTTAAAATAAGAAAAACAACAACTTTTAGTACTTAAAATAAGAAACTAAATCTAATGTTGCTTGAATAACACACTATCTAATCTAA